CAAGAAACAACAAGTGTTGGCAAGGATGTGGTGAAAAAGTAAAGCTCTTGCACCGTTGGTGGTAATGCAAAGTGGTGCAGCCACTCTGGAAAACAGTAGGGAGTTTCCTCAAAAAATTAATAGATTACCATATGATCCAGTAATTGCACTACTGGGTATTTACCCAAAAAATACAAAAACACTAAAATGCACCCTTATGTTTATTGCATTATTTACAATAGCCAAGATTTGGAAGCAGCCCAAGTGTCCATCAACTGATGAATGGACAAAGAAGTGATGTATAATACACAATGGAAGGTTATTCAGCCATAAAAAAGAATGAAATCTTTCCATTTGCAACAACATGGATAGTGCTAGAGTTTAACGCTAAATGAAATAAGCCAGGGAAAGACAAATACCATATGATCTCACAGATACGTGGAATTTAAGAAATGAAACAACCAAAGGGAAAAAAAAGAGTGAGCAAGAGAGAGAGAAACCAAGAAACAGACTCTTAACTACAAAGAACAAACTGATGGTCACCACCAGGGAGGTGGGTGGGGGAGGATGGGTGAAAATAGGTGGTAGGGATTCAAGAGTACACTTACCATGATGGAAGAAACAAATACAATAAAAAGAGATGAAGAGAGGTTGTGAACATATCCCTCTTAGATATATCGGATTGCCTCTGGCAGGTGTCTTGGTGTAAACTGAATTGATTACAGTATACCAATATTTATGAAGTTATTGCGCCAAATAGGAAAACCTAACATGCAGAATAGGCACTTTGTAATAATAAATAGTTCCTTACACTGTTCTTCAATGGAACATAGCAACAATTTAATAAAATTGATGTGTATTTTCAACTTAAAGAAAAAAAAAATATCCTGACAACTGTTAAGTGCTGTCAAGCATGTGGAGCAACCGGAACTCTAAAATATCGCTGGTAGGGATGCAAAACAGAAAAGCCACTCGGGGAAATAGTTCGGCAGTTTCTTATAAAACATACACTTACCGTATGATCCTGCGATTACAGTCCTAGGTATTTACTCAACAAATGGCAACTTATTTTCACACAAAAAGGTGTGCACAAAATAGCTGTTCTATGTATAATCACGTGTGCGTATCCTAGGTCAATGACTAAAAAAATGGCATGTTCTATACAACGGGATACTACCCAGCAATAACAGGAAATGAACTTTGATATACACAACTGGGATCAGTTTCAAAGGCCTTATGCTGAGTGAAAGAAGCCAGTCACTGTGTGATTCTATTTATGTAATATCCTCAAAAGAAGAACACTAGAATGACAGAGAACAGACCTAAGGCTGGCTGGCATTATGGGTGAGAGGAGGCTGTAAGTACAAAGAAATGGCATGAGGGAGTTTCAGGGGTGATGGAACTATATCCTCATCAAGGACAAAGTTCTACAAGTCTGTGTGTCAAAATTCAGAGTTGCACATCTAGGAAACATTGATTTTACTGTATGTTAATTATAAAAGTTAAATGAGCTCTCGGGGCGCATGGGTGACTCAGTCGGTTAAGGGTTTCTTGATTCCAGCTCAGGTCATGATCTCATGGTTCGTGACTTGGAGCCTCACATCAGGCTCCGTGCTGACAGCTAGGAGCCTGGAGCCTGCTTTGGATTCTGTGTCTCCCTCTCTCTGCCCCTCCCCAGCTTGTGCTCTGTCTCTTCCTCCCTCTCTTTCTCAAAAATAAATAAAAACATTAAAAAAAATGTTTTAATAAATAAAATGAAATAAAAGTTAAATAAGCTTCACAGAAAACTTTCCAGTAAACCTAACACTACATGGTGATGACCAGTTGGCCAGAGGTTCTAGGAAGAGCATTCCAAGCAGAATTAAGAGCTCACACTCGTCTCTGGGCTAGAACACACCTATATTCAAGAAACAGTCAGGAGGTCAGTATGGCTGAAGTGGAGTAAGTATAGGAGTTGGGGAGAGACCGCCTGAGGTACAAGACAGGACCAGATCATGTAGGTATCTGTGCCATGGGAAGGACTTTGGCTTTTGAGAGAAACGGGGAACCACTACAGGGCTTTGAGCAGCCAAGTGACACAAATTGAATGTTCTTAAAAGGATCACTGGTTTCTGTGTGGAAAACAGACTGGTGGCAGCGGGGAGAGGTCAAAGAGGGAAGACAAATTTCAAGAAGCAATTTCAATAACCCAGGCAACAAGGACCGTGGCTCAGTCCAGAGTGGGTGTGACCGACGCGGGGAGAAACAGTCCGAGTTTAGATCTACTTTGAAGGTAGACCCGAGACAATTTTCTGATGGATGAGACCGAGAGAAAGAAATGCGTCAAGGATGACTGTACATTTTCTGGTCTGAGCAACCGAAAGGCTGGAACCAGCATCAGCTGAAGAGAGAACAGCTTTCAGTGGAACAGGCTGTAGGAAGGAACACTAGTTTCATTTTGAAAATGCAACGTTTGTGGTTTTAGGAGACAGTCAAGCGGAAATTTCACCCTTGGCTGGAAAGACCAAAGCACACCTGGTGGCCCTGGGCACACTGAGTGCACTGTGTGGTCCAGTGTGTGGGGAGGAGCTGTGGAGAGTGCTGGAGCACAGCAAGCACCTGTGTCACAGGAAGCTCACACAGACTGGCAGGTGTTGTCACTTGTCGGTTACATGTGTGGTCCAAGCAGATCCAGGGGTGAAGCTCACCTGACTTAGTCCTCAAGACTTTCCCTGATGCAGGAAGTAAGATTTTATATGGTGAAGAATGAGTCTCTGAGGACAAATTCTTAAATTCTCAAATTCGGTCTTTTCTTGAAGTACACATTTGAGATTATGCCCCCCGCCCCACCAATCTCTGCTGTAATTGGTAGAGTGAGGCTGGGGTGTTCAGTGGATATAGTGGCACATCACCAAAATGCAGTGTCCTGACTGAATGCAAGGTGAATGGCTGTGTAGTTTACCATATTCAAAAGATTTTATGTTGAACACATCTTGAGCTTTTTTTTCCATCCCCTTGTGGTAATGAGGCAAATTTTTTCAAGAAAGAGATACTGATGTGAAATCATCACCTTCTATATATCAATTTAGTATTCTTCAAGGTGTTTGAAACTCATTAATAATATCTCAAGGGATATTATTGATAAGCCCTAATATAGAGCATCAGAAATAATAAGACCTAAATAATTTAACAGAATTTCATTTAATAAGTATATTTAAAGTTCATCTCTTCCAAAAACAGCATTTTAATTACATTCAAATTGTGTTCATTTTAAATATCAACAAACTCATCATTTACATACAGGGCTAGATATTAGAAAACAGAAGGACATTAAAACAAGTTTTATTTTTTAAAAGTTCTCACTTCCAAATTTAGAATACCATAAACTGTTAAATATATACCCAAACAAAATGTATATACAGTATCAGGAGAAAAAAAACACAAGTTGCTCTAATAGGAAAAAAAAACCTGTAATACACATACAGCAGAACATAATTCACATAGGCTCAATTTACAAGTGTATCTCAAAGTATAAAACAAACCAACAAAAAGTCAGTAATGACAAACACAGGCAAAATTCACAGCTGCCATTCTAAACTACTGCACCAACACACAATACTTTCCAAGAGAAAGACGGGTTCCCAAGATCTTATGTTGACCCAGGACTTTTCACTTCTTTGTTTTCAAATGCAGAAGCAAAAAAGCCTTAAGAGTTTTCTTCTTGCCTTTAGATTCATGTTGGTTTTTCTTCAATAACCCAAATATATCATGAGAAGTGCTATCAAAGCTGTTCTATTTAGAGCTCAATAACCAAGACATTTCTTTCATTCTGTATTTCCCTGTACCTCTATTTTCCTTCAAAAAGCCACTGGGGAAACTTTACAGAGTGGTGGTAAAGAGATCAAATAATCCTGAGAAGACAAGGAAACAGGAGAGCCGGCACTATCACTGGTTTACCAAAAATTACACCCCCCCCCCCACCGTTTATTAAACCATAAATGCAAAACAGTAAGAAATCCAAAAACGCAAGGAGCCTGAAAAGTACTGGAAAGCAAGCAGGAGGCATGCTGAATTGTGGTGTGGCTTTTGTTTGAAAGACATACACCAACCAGGCTCCTGCTAACTGCTGGGCACTTGTTGTAACATGCACCATTTGTTTACATTTTTAACTTGTCCAAGCTGAGTTTCTCTAGCCAAAGCAGAGAGGTCGTAATTACCGTGCTCAGGTAAGAGAGGTGTGAAGGTTGTAAGATGAGAGGAGGGGGTAAGATGCAGGACCAGGAATAAAACTAAGCACTAAATCTGATCCAGTCAAAGACAGGAAAGAACCCTGATTTTCTTCAGATTTTACTGCACTTTATAATCAAAGAAAAAAGAACATCTCTCCTTTTTTTCGTAATGTAGCTCAGGTTTAAAATGGCAGAATGAATAGTCCTTAACACACACTATTTGTAAAAGGGACATTTTTAGAATTGGATTGTTTTTAATGACAAACCTTAAGAGTTATTTAGCTCTTCTAAAATGGTGCTCAGAGGTACTGATACAGGCCCTTCTTAAAAGGAAACAACTTACTTTGCATTAAAAAAATCATCAATAAGAGTTATAAGTCAGTGTTTTCAACAAACGAAATGTTTAACTTCAAATTAAGTATGTTTTTCAAGTAACTGCTGTTGTGCCAAATAGTGTTACCTGCTACTATTTTATTCAAGTATAAACATATAATTAACAAACATTACATAATCATTCTTTATGATCACTATAAAAATTTAAATTACCCTTTTCTCTTTTATATGAAGATGGTGGTTCTAAAGTAACATTAAGCCGGAAAAGCCCATTCATTCATCACACACATCTATCTCCACCTCAGTTTTTAGAAGTCAGTGCATTCAGTGGTTATAAGTAGATGCAATGTTCTTCTGTAGTTAAGAGATCTGAAAGAGTTAAAAAAAAAGGGGGGGGGGGTAAGTAATTTGAAAGATATCCTTAACAATCATAAATACTGCCAGTACTCAAAGTCAAGTATAGTGTAACCTGAGTTCAGGTCAATCAGTCGTGGTTTTTTCTCCTGACGGAAGGCGTTCCCATAACTGGAGCAACTGTTCACCAACCTGAGGCTCGAGCTCCTGGATAAATCACAAGTCACACAACAAACACCAAGGGAAATGGATTGAATTTTTTTTAATCACCAAAACCTATGCTGATAGAAATGTAAGAGAAGTACTTTGAATTTCATTTTTCTACCAGAACATGATAAAATCATGCAACCTATGTTCAGGTTTGTGAAGTTCACTTCCAGACTTCAAGATTGTAGTTAACCCTCAAATACAGCAACTATTTGTGACAAAACGGTAAAGAGATTTCCATGGAGTTCTTCTGGAGCTTTTTACTATGTGGCAATCATGAATTTTTTTTTAAATGGAGATTTACCAAAACCACTCCACTTCAACTTTCAAAGGTTTACTGTGAAACCTAGCGTATTCGATGTTTGGGGGTGTTGTTAAGAAATTATGATGAGTATATAATATTTTTATCTTAGGAATTAGGCTTATTTCAAAATCCTTAGTATAGAATAAAAATTAAAATATTCTGATACAACTGAAAAGAATGTCATTTATAGTCCTCTTGTGATACGATGTGCATTTAAAAAGAACCCAAACACTTTTCATATGGCGATTTAAAGCGAGCCACACTGGTTTAAATAGATTATTAGCCGTGTGACCTTAGAATAATTTCTCCTATTTCTCCTACCTAAAATTGAGCTAATAAAGCAATATGCATTAAATTAAATGACCTCATGGAAAGCAGCTAGCACAGCAGTCCATATATATGTTAATTCCCATCCCCTTAACCAGCTTAAAATACATGTCAGCAGCAATGATGAAGGCAAAGCAAACATAACAGAAACAAAACAAGTCATAAAAATATAAAAAGGCTGTTTTTATATTGCATCATTAGTTAAAGGCACAAAGATGTCAGATGCTGTTGTTACCCTCAGTGAGATTACTTCAGAATTACACTCCGTTTTGATCAGAGCTTCAGTTACTAAGACAACAGGAGCCTCCATGAAGTAACTTATGAAAGACTTTGTCCGTAATGATGGAGAGAAGTCAAATTTACCAAATGTTAAAAAAGCAATGAGCTCTGTCAAACACCAGTACGAGCAGGTTTTTATACTAACTCTTTTACAAACCTGAGCCACCGTCTCCCGTGTGCACACAGAATATACAATTTGTACTCCTACGTCTCCCTCTCAAACGGACCACTGCGTAGCAGCAAAACAAAACCAAGAGACCAGAGGAAGGCAAATATGAAAGGCCACCGTATACCTGCCCGTCTCTGCTGATCTGGACCTTCTTGTTGTCGTTCCAGGGGTTAAGTAGATGGTGTGCAAACTGGAAGGGAAGACTCTCCTTCCGGACCCACTCCACCTTAAACACTCCTCCCAGTCCAGCGGAGCCCCAGTCCTGGCTCTTCTCCCTTCCTATCTCCGAAGACATCCTAGAAAATCCCTGTGGGTCAAATGAGGGCAAGGGGAAAGGTAAGGAGGATATTAAATGTCTGAATAAAATTTACCAGAGAAAGCTCTCCATTTTTTTTTCTTTAATTTTAAGGTAAAGTGTAATATAAAAACAACAGATATCTAACAAAAACAAAAAGAAGTTGTTGTTTTTTATAAAAAAGATGTATTAGCACATTTCTAGCCTTCTAACATAATTTTAGTATGAACAGATATTTTCTAAATAATGTATTAACAGCCCTAAACCCACATTTATTCCATGATAAATGGATATACTCTAACCTATAAGTTTTACTTCCAAATATTATACATCAAGTCAAGATGAGTTAAGAAACATACTCAAGTTTCTGGATTGTCAGTTCTAACTTGCTTGCCTATTTAAATAAACATTTTACCAAAAAAGTCAAGCTTCTCATTACTCTTAATCCACCTGAAAAACAGTAAATCTAAAGTTACCTTCAGAAGGAGAAATGGTTTATCTAAAGAGATTCCGGTAAGACAAGGAAAACAAAGGGATCCCTATTATCATTCCCCTGAAGAGGTACAATACATTCCTCATTCTGTCAAGCAAAATGCATTCTTGCATTCTGATGCAATAAAAAGCCAGGGTGTTTTTGGTTTTTGTTTTAATCTCTGTGGTCTAACCTGCAGCCAGAACAACCCCATTTTACTGGTTCAGGATGGCTCACCTGGAAATGTCCAGATCCTTGAACAGAAAATACCAAGTAAACCATGCTGCTTTCCCAAAAGGCTCGATTTAGCTTCCGCTCATTACTAGGGGTTGTAGACCAGATACCCTTCTGCTGAGAAATTTCAAGGTTTCTCAAATTGCTACTCTTCATTATGAAGTATCGAATAGGCATGTTTGGTCTTGGTGAAGGAGATTTTGAGCCCTATAAAAGAATGCATAAGTTCTTGAAAGGTAATCTGACCTTTCAAAATCAATAGGCTCCATTAAATAACATCTTCATAAACATATGAACCAAAGTATTTTACCAAATATCCAACAAGTGCAAATAGCTCCATTGTGCCTGAAAAGCTACACAAGGCTCCCTCAGAATGAGGTTACAGAGCCAAAACCAAGCACTCATTTTCAGAGCATTCAAAATCTCTTATCAAGAAGGATTTGGGATTATAAACTTTGATTTATATTCCAAATGTATTTTCAGAAACTATTTTAATACACTTTCAAAGGCTGAAAACAAAGCAAAAATTTGCTCCAGCTTCCCGCCTGGATACAGCTTCCAGGCAACAGTGCAGGGAAGGGAAACAGAATCCAGCAGTCTCAGTGAACTGCAGAGAGAGAGCCTGGAATTGAGAGGCCAGGGTTAGAATTTGCACAGCAGTGTGCTGGATATAAGAGATTTGCACAGGAGAGTTCCCAAGGAACTGAAGAAGGGTACCCACAAGTTTCTGACAAGTACTGACCTGCACGTGAGTGAGAAAACATGATTTAACGCCAGGGAAAGATCCAGACAAAAGCAGTAAACTAAGTAATTCCTGGAGCTCACACGGGGTTCAGAGTATTTGCTGTTCTCCCCAGCCAGAATGGAAACAACTGTTAATACATAGGGCATCAGCCCACAGAAGGCTCATGCCTTAGTACTGAAACTAAATTAGTACCAGAATAAAATCTGCTCAGGACCTGCTATAACACTTAAAAGAAAAATCTTAAAAACATTTAACTGATTGCCACTTACTTAGTGGTATACCAGAGAGATGTCTGACACTACTTAAAGGAATACAACAAAAATCTAGCAGCCAAATGAAATTATAAGGAATGCAAAGAAACGGAGGAGAACAGATCCATAACCAGGGAAAAAATAAACCAACAGGAAAAGATTCACATCTAACAGATGATGGAATTAGGAGACAAAAAAATGTCAGAGCAGCTATTATAAATATATTCACTGTGTTCAAGAAGGTAAAGTAAACATGCATGTGCCTTAAAGGAGAAATGGAAAGTGTTTTTTAAAGGCCCAAAGGGCATTCTAGAGATGGAGATATAATATTTAAAGTGAAAAATACATTAGAAAGAATGCACAGCAGATGAGACACTACAAATAAGAACATCAGTGAACTTGAAAACATAGCCAGAGAAACCATTTCAAATGAAACAAAGAAACCAAAAAAGAATTGAAAAAAATGAAGACAGCCTCAGTGACCTATGGTATAGTATCAAGTGGTCTTGCACTTGTATATCCCTAGTCCCAGAAAGGAGGGGGAAGCGATGAGACATAAAAAATACGTGAAGAAATAATTATCTTAATTTTTCCATATTTGATGGAAACTATGAATACATAGATTAAATAAGAACTACAAACGGGGCACCTGGGTGTTTCAGCCAGTTAAGCTTCCGACTCCTGGTTTCAGCTCAGGTCATGATATTGCAGTTTGTTACTTCAAGTCCCATGTCGGGCTCTGTGCTGACAGTGCACAGCCTGCTTGGGATTCTCTCTCTCACTCTCCGCTCTCTCTCTGCCTCTTCCCTTCTCTCTCTCTCAAAATAAGTAAATAAACTTAAAAAAATTAAAATTAAAAAAAGTTCTCATCATAAGAAAAAACATTTAAAAAAACTACAAATAGAAACATATCAAAATCAAATTGCTGAAAACCAGTGATAAAGAGAAAATCTTAAAAGTAGGTAGAGGAAAAAGATACATTATATACAGAGAAACATTATATACAGAGAAACAAAAATGATAGTAAACCTCCCTCAGAAACTATGTAAGCGAGAAGATAATGGAGTGACATCTTTGCAGTAACAAAAGAAAACCACTGTCAACCTAGAATTATAAACACAGTAAAAACAGCTTTTGGGGCGCCTGGGTGACTCAGTCAGTTAAGCTTTCAACTCTGGCTCAGGTCATGATCTCATAGTTCGTGAGCTCAAGCCCCATGTCAGGCTCTGTGCTGACAGCTCAGAGCCTGGAGCCTGCTTCGGATTCTGTGTCTCCCTCGCTCTCTGCCCCTCCCCCACTCACAGTCTGTCTGTCTCTCTCTCTCAAAAAATGAATAAACATTACAAAAAATTTTTAAATAGCTTCCAAAACTAACAGTGAAAAATGGTTTTTCAGACAAAAGCTTAAAGAATTCATTTCCAGAATATCTGTACCAGAGAAAATGTTCAAAGAAGGTTTCCAGACAGAAGCGTATGATCCAAGATAGAAATCCTCATCAACACAAAAGAATAAAGAACACAAGAAATGGTAAATATTTAGTAAATATAAAACACATTTTTCTGACTTTTGGTACAAGATAATTTACTATGAAGGAAAAAAAAAACCAATACACTGCAGCAAGTATAACAAATATACAAATAAAATGTATGAGACAAGTAACACAAAGAACTAAAGGGTAAAATAAAAATACACTGTTGCAAGGTTCTCAAACTATACCTGAGGTGGCATAAAACTAATTCAAGATATACTAGGGAAAGTTAAAAAATGGTTACAGTAGTGAATTCTACCAAACATTTAAGGAAAAAATCATATCAATCCTATGCATCTCTTGCAAAAATGAAGTAGAAAGAAAACTTCCCAAATAATCTTATGAGGCCAGCATTACCCTGATACCAAAACAATACAAAAATAACACAAGAGAACTATAGAATATCCCTCATGAACAAAGATCCCAAATTTAACAGAAGTTCTGATTAAGCAAAATCAAATCCATTAATATTTAACACCATAATATGTCATGATCCTGCGAGGTATAAACATTAGAAAAGCAGTCAACAAAACCCACTTTATTAATAGAAGAAAAAAAATTGTGTTATCATTTCAACAGATGTAAAGACAAAAAAAGCACTGAACATAATTCAACATTTATTCCTAATAAACCCTCTCAGCAAACTAAATCCAAAAAGAAACATCCCACAGTTACATTATGATAAGTGGTGACAGATTTAATGAGGGATGGGGGTTGGGGGGGGGGGTTGTTTTCCCTCAAAGGTCTGTTCTCAACACTGTTATTAAACATTTTACTGGAGGTTCTAGCCAGAGAGAACAGACAAGAAAAAAAATAAACAGAATCAATACTGGAAAGGAAAAAAGTGAAACTACCTTTATTAATAGATGAAATGGTTATCCATGTAGAAAGTCCTGAGAAATCTCATATAAAGCGAACAGAATTAATAAATGAAGTAAGATCACGGCATATTGGGTAAATATACAAAGGTCAAATGTATTTCTAAATCATAGCAATGAACAACTGGAAATTAAAAATTTTACAAACAGCATCAAAGATATAAAATATTTAGTGATCAACTTAACAAAAAATGTATAATACCTGAACTCTGAAATTTACAAAACACTTGTGAAAAATTAAAGAATATCAAAAGAAATGCATATATATACCACACTTAATAGATTATAAAACTAAAAACTGTTATCAATTTTCTTCAAACTGATCTACAAATTCAATGCAATTCCACTCAATACCAAAATATGTTTCTGTAGAAATTAACAAGCATTTTCTAAAGCTTATATGAAAGACCATTAGAACACCCTGAATACCAAAACAATTTTATTATTTTTTGAATGTTTCTGTATTTTTGAAAGAGAGGGAGACCAAGCAGAAGAGGGGCAGAGAGGGGAGGACAGAGGATCTGAAGCAGGCTCTGTGCTGACAGCAGAGAGCCTCATGTGGGGCTCAAATTCACAAACCATGAGATCATGATCTGAACCGAAGTCGGACACTTAACCCACTCAGCCACCCAGGCCCCCCAAAACAATTTTTAAAAAGAAAAGAGTTGGAGAAAAAAATTAACTGGTTTCAACTTAGTATAAAGCTACTATAATCAAACTACCGTAGCAAAGGCAAAAACAGAGAAGTAGTATACAGATCAATGAAACAGGATACAGTCCAATAAATTGACCACATATTTACAGTCAATTGATTTTTGACAAAGATGCCAAGATAATTTCAATGGGAAAAGGAGAATCTTTCCAACAAATGGTGCTAGAACAATTGTATAGGCAAATGCCAAATTATGATCCTTGATCCACCCATACTATAAACAAAACTTAACTCAAAACAGATCATATGCCTAAATATAAGAGCTCTCACTGTCACACTTCTAGGAGAAATACTTTGTAATCCTGAATTAAACAAAGACGTCTTAGAACACAAAAAATATGAACCATAATAGAAAAATAGATGACACCAAAATATAAAAAAATAGATATGGTAGACTTTATCAAAATTAAACACTTGCTCTTCAAAAGACACTGTTAAGGAAATGAATATGCAGGCACAGCCTATTAGAAAAAGTTGCAAAACATATATAATTAAGACTTGTATCTAGAAATATATTTTTAAATCTTACTACTAAATAAAGAAGACAACCCATAAACAACCAAAAAAGTTGAACAATTTGAACAGCTACTCCACACCAAAGAAAATTCAGGAATGGTAAATAAGCACATAAAAAGATGCTCACCATCATTAGTCATCAGGGAAGTGCAAATTAAAAACAAAATGGGAGATCACTATATACCCACTAGAATGGCCAACAGTAAAGAGATTACTATTGTCAAGAATATGGAGTAAATGGGACTCTCAATAGATGACGGAAGGGAATAAAAAAAGTACAGCCATTTTGGAAAATGGTGGGGATAGCTTCTTGTAAAGATAAACGTACACTTAACCATACAACCCAACAATCCTATTCCTGGGTATTTACCCAAGAATAGAAACCATACGTACACACAACAACTTGCCCTCAAATATTATAGCAGCTTTATTCACAACAGCCCAAAAGTGGAAACAATCCAAATGTCCATCAACGGGTGAATGGATAAACATTCTATGGGTATGAGCCAAAGAGTGGAATACGATTCAGCAATAAGAAGTAATAAACTAATAATACACTGAATAATCTGGATGAATTTCAAAAGTGAAATAAGCCAGTCACAAAAAATTACATGCATAGGATTCCATTTACAGCAAATTCCAGAAAAGGCAAAACTCTAGGGACAGAGAGCAGTTCAGTTCAGTGGTTGTCATGATCCAAGGGTGATGGGAATGTTCTGTACCTGGCTGTGATACAGTTACATAATTATATACATTTGTCAAAATTCACTGAATTGTACAGTTTAAAGTGGTTAATTTTACTGTGTGTATCTAAATAAAGGTATTTTAAAATAAAAACCTCAAAACCTAAGAATGCAAATCCACAAAAAACATTTTATTTTCCTCTTATTTAACAAGAGTGTTTCAGCAGATACTTTCCTCACCAGAACACAACATATAGCTAAATAACCCTAATGAAATACTTACTTAGTACCAACAACAGGAGAAATAAAAGTAACATATTCTAAACATTTGAAATCATTTGTATTACAAATTTTTTAAAAGATACATAGTTCTCAATTCCCTACCAACATCTATCTTCCTAACCCCACCCTGTCTTGTATTTTTTTAATATGACCACTGAATTGGAAAAATCAATAAATAACTGAAAAAAAAAACTAATTTGAGACCATCTTTTTAACAAAAAAGGTTCTAATGATACAGAAAGGAAATAACAGATGGCTGAGTTACGGCATATAACTCAGTAAATGATCAGTTAGTTTTAAAACATCCCAAGATGGTAACAATGAGAAATGTTTGGCAAGCAAGAAAGACTAAAAAATTTACTCAAGGTGTTTCAAGTTTACCAGATTCAATTTATATCAAGAACAAAGACCATGATGAGTAACTGAAAAGTAGAACTGTTCTATAATTTTGCTTAAATCTGCAACATTAGATGTGCTAGGGATCAACTTGTGGATACACTACCTTTCCTGAGGGTGGAGGAGAAGGGCTGGCACAAGGACTCGGGTAACTACTGCTGTCTGTAGATTTCACAGAAGACTGATCCGATCGGTCATCAGTGCTTCGTTTAGGATGTAAAATTCCTCTATCTTTGTACTTCTGAGGTGGGTGTAGTGCTGGAGATGGAGATTTCATCAATACTCTTGAGTGAGAAGGAGGAAGCAAAGATCGGTTACATACAAGCTCGTGATTGAAAGCAGATGCCATTTCAAACCAAAGTTTCAGGGGCGTTATGATTTACGGAATAGTATTTAAAAAGGGAATTTCATTCTTCTCTTACATTTTTTTTTAATTTTTATTTTTGAGAGACAGAAAGACAGCACAAGTGGGGTAGGGGCAGAGAAAGACACACACACAGAATCCAAAGCAGGTTCCAGGCTCAGAGCTGTCAGCACAGAGCCTGACATGGGGCACAATCTCACAAACCATAAGATCATGACCTGAGCCAAAGTCGGACGCTTAACTGACTGAGCCACCCAGGTGCCCCCTCATACATTTAGAAGTTTAATACCATCAGGGACATTAAGGGACACTTACAGAAAGAGGTAAAAATATATGTATTAGCGATCTACAGAAGTCCTTAACTTAATGTTAACAAATACTCAAAGTATGATTTCCCTTATAAAATTCCTAGCCTCTTGTATGATGGTTTAGGAACAGAGGTCTTTAACATTCCTGGCAGTCAGGAATTTTATAATTTTTCTAAAAGTATATGTCTTTGTGGAATAACCAGACATAAAAAAGAAAAGATATTATTGAGTACGTCCTAAAGTCATTCAATAGTAAAGTTCACAGCACCACCTATAAATTATACTTGTCAAAATACTGGATTTAATCAAGCCGTGAGAGCTAACTGCCAGTTTACACAAAATATATATGGTATGGCAACAAATAATGCCAAGAAGAAACAGACAAATCCAGAATGTGGTACACCTCACAGTATCACCACCCCACTTTCTTCAAAAAAGTCGAGAGGACCTGCTCTGGATCACGAGAGACTCAAGACACATGACACCCTGAGAAATGCATGAGCCATTTTACTGTGACTGATCATTGGAATTCGATCATGTAGGAAAAATTCCTCTATTTTTAAGAGATGCATATTTAAATATGGAAGGGTAAGATGACATGATATGTGGGATTTATTTTAAAATATCTAAACCAGAAGCATTTGGGAGCTCAGTCAGTGACTTTGGCTCAGGTCATGATCTCACAGCTCGTGAGTTCGAGCCACACCTTGGGCTCTGTGCTGACAGCTCAGAGCCTGGAGCCTACTTCGGATTCTGTGTCTCCGTCTCTCTCTGCCCCTCCCCTGCTCCTGCTCTGGCTCTCTCTCTCAAAATAAAAATTAAAAAATTTACAAAACTTTTTAAAAAAAATAAAATATGTAAACAAAAAAAGCAGGAGAGAACAAAGAATATTTGGTTAGATACGGATATGGAGTTCATTACAGTATATCATTTAGTTTGCTGTGTTAAATAATATTTATAATAAGCGTTTAAAACAAAAAACGATGTGTTCAATAATTCATAAGCTTCCAGAGAGTCTTGTAATTAATAATTACTCTTCCTTCAAGACAAGTTAAAATAGCTTATCCCCACAATTCGCCCCTGCTTCAATCAGTATCTTTAATCCAGGATTATTTCTTTCACAAATGAAATAAAATAGTTAAAGCCTAAAGGTATTAACAAAAGAATATATAAGGAATGCACATCTGAATCATCAACAACTTAAGAAGTATAAAAAACAACCTTTCAGGGGTTTTTTCCTTCATGAATTGATGTCCAACGCATTATCTAAATTCAACCCCTAAAATCCCATCGTTCCTACCCTAGAACCTCAGAGACCTGAAAATTAGGCAAAAGAACTTAACGACGGTAAAACCGGGACTCAAACTCACAAACCAATAAGATCATGACCTGAGCCGTAACTGAGTTGGATGCTTAACCAAATGAGCAACTGAGGCACCCTAAAATGTTTTTATTTAAAGAAATTATGAGGGCGCCTGGGTGGCTCAGTTGGTTGAGCGTCCGATTCTTGGTTTTGGCTCAGGTCATGATCTCACAGTTTGTGGGTTCAAGCCCCACATCGGGCTCATGCTGTCAGAAAGAAGCCTGCTTGGGATTCTCTCTCCCTCTCTTTCTGCCCTCCCCTGCTCGTGCTCTTTCTCAAAACAAATAAACTTAAAAAATTTTTTTAATTAAAAAAAAAATTATGTACCATATATCTTGCCAACGTACAGTGAAAACATGAACTACAGATACTTTTTCTCTAAGAAGTAATCCCACAGACTGTAATTTCTCCTTTCAAGTATAAATTTTCCTAAGAGTCCTCATTCTTTTCCCCACCAAATATATCAACTTCAAGGCATTATCTATCAATAACACCAAAAGCCTGAAAGTAGATGAAGTTCTGTATCTCCCTGTTCAACAGGTAAGAATGAAGAGTGCCAGACTACAACTTGTAAGGAAATGAAAATGGTATCACAGGTGAAAAACTGAATTTATAAGACAATATCTGAATTGTAATATTACACTTTATAATTTTAATTGTATTAAATTTATTTTACTAAATAAGCATGTATTACTTTTATTGAGAAACAAGTAGCCTTTCTCCTAAAAATGTGTGTGCATGTGTGTATATATGAATATATAGGCACACACGTATATACATCTGTATGTATACACACAGACCCATACATACACAACACACAGAGTCTCTACGAACCTAACATATTTTTATAGATGGGCCTAGGAATAACACTACCACCTAGCAATGTCTATGGAAATCTATTCCCATATTCTAAACCATTTTTCGAGTAAGCTTTTAGATCGGTATTTCCAAAAAGTGGGCAGTGTCTAAGAAGAAAATGTGCTTTTCACTCTTCTATCGCTCAGGAAGGCCTACATCAGAGAGAAACATTCAGGAACGCACATGATGAAAAGGTTTTCTTGGCAAACGACTGAATTATTCCTCAAATGCAGTATGTGAAGAACTTGGAAACCAGTATGAATTACTTCTCTGTAATTCAAGTCTGACCTAATGAAGCCTTATGCTTCATTCAAATGTGCAAATCTGACCAAAAGAAAGTACAAACAGCCCCATTCGATCCTTACAAAACAGTAAACATCATGTATCTTTTATGTTTCCACTGTTCTATTTTTCTTTTTAACAATGAAATATTCTTACTACACAGACTTTCTACCAGTACTGCCGAAACCAGCATCACAGGCAAGAATGTCGTGTTCATTATCAATTCTAACAGGGTAAAAAAAATTTTAAACTGATATAAAGAAATTCTGATTCTTATAAAATATAAATTTGATTCTAACAAATGGGTTTTTTTTTACACAACAAATATTTCTGAATCATGGCCAATGATTCATTATAACCACTATTATATCATCATAATACGTTTTTTGATAAATAATTCAATATAAGAACTCTCTTATTAATAATAATCATACAGTAAATAAAAATACCATGTATAATTGCTAAATGTTAGAAAGAAAAGAAGAACCTGGCTAAACTGTAATAAATTTTGCCACTAGAGTAAATTTGTTTACTTCTGCATCATATGTCTCTGCTGGATAAAATAAAAACTCTTTGAAGGAAGAGCTCTTGTCTGTTTGGTACACTGCTATCTCTCTTACACCAAGAACAACACACATTCAATGTGTCACTGAGAAAGTGAATGAATAATTGATCTTCTGTAGGAATACTAGTCAGCACTACTGATACCCAGGTAAGACTTGTGAAGAGGCTGTTCTTTTAAATGGCCATAACCCATACTTCTTGCTATAAGACATATGCGAAAGATGTTGCTTGCCATGTATCAACTAAAATACAGAATTTTAATATACTGCTATCTTTTTAACAGACCCTAAATCTGTGAAGTCTTGAAATTAAACATTTTTAGTCTTTCCCAATAAAAAATTTCCTTATTAAATGACTCACAGACACCAGTAGCTTAAAATCCCTCATATTATCGGGGCGCCTGGGTGGCGCAGTCGGTTAAGCGTCCGACTTCAGCCAGGTCACGATCTCGCGGTCCCGCGGTCCATGAGTTCGAGCCCCGCGTCAGGCTCTGGGCTGATGGCTCAGAGCCTGGAGCCTGTTTCCGATTCTGTGTCTCCCTCTCTCTCTGCCCCTCCCCCGTTCATGCTCTGTTTCTCTCTGTCCCAAAAATAAATAAACGTTGAAAAAAAAATAAAAAAAAAAAAAAATCCCTCATATTATCTTACTACTTACAAGAACTATGTTTTAAAAGTAAAACACTCTTCGCATTTTATTGTAACCTTTTACGTACACTCTAAGCAATTTTTAAATATTATTAAAACATCCAATTCTATGAGAAATAACTCATTTTCCTGGAGAAAATGTCCCCGTTTTGATAAAATGTTATAAATGTAGGGGCGCCTGGGTGGCGCAGTCGGTTAAGCGTCCGACTTCAGCCAGGTCACGATCTCGCGGTCCATGAGTTCGAGCCCCGCATCGGGCTCTGGGCTGATGGCTCAGAGCCTGGAGCCTGGAGCCTGTTTCCGATTCTGTGTCTCCCTCTCTCTCTGCCCCTCCCCCGTTCATGCTCTGTCTCTCTCTGTCCCAAAAATAAACGTTGAAAAAAAAAATTTATAAAAAAAAAAAAAAAAAAAAATGTTATAAATGTACCTTTCTGCAGTAGCAGACTCATCAGAAAATTCAGTATCTGCGGAAGTTTTCCTGCTATTATTGGACCTCCAAGATGATGCCAAAGGAAGTTCTTCTGAAGACATAGGCCTTGGCCTCTGGCCTATCCCAGACGGCTGCTGTAAACCTGCACACTGTTCCTCAGTGCTTAAAACAGCTATAATTGCTCTTACGGTAGCTTCATCAACTTGAGACCAAGGTTTGGATGGAGCTCTCATTCGGCGTAAAAATAAGCTGTGCCACTTCTGTCTGAGCTGCAGCAATAAACTGGCTGCCTGTAATGAAAGTTCAAACAGGTACAAGCAAAATGTATACCCTACTTGCAAGACACCCATTTACTAGTTAAAGGCTGCAACTGTTTCCAAAGAACACTCTGCAACTTGTAAGGAGTTAATGTATTCTAAGGTTTTACATTTTATGTAATTTACTATTAATTTCATTCTTTTTGTTGCCCGAACGAGATAAAAATTCTTATTTACCATACTGGAGGCACTAGAGACACAAAATCAAATGAAACAGTCCGATGCAAGAGACGGTAAACAATGTGTGGCAGAGTGTGATTAAAACTGGAAATGGTAACAGCACAGTAAATGAAGAAAAATACATTTAGTTCCATTCATGCTTTAGTGCCTACAGAACATCCAGATGATGATGCCCAGAAGGCAGCTAGATTCACAGAAAGGTTCACAGAAAGGCCTAAGCTAAAAATATAGACAGACTTGGGAGTCATCAGTGCATAAGTGGTTACTGAATCTACACAGAGAGGTAAGGTCCCTGGAGATTGTACAGAGACATAAAAAGAGCAGAGAAAGGCCCGGAGTAGTGGAGAACATCTAACATTTAAGGCACAGACACATAGAGAAGAGTCAGTGAAAGAACCTAAGAAGGAATGACCTTTGAAGAAAGAAGAAGAATCAGGAAAGATTCATGTCACGGTTAACTTGTGACAAAGAAGTTGGGACAGGGGTGAGGAGGAAAATGAGGAAGGGCAGAATTATGAAAGGAAGGGTATGGACAATAAATAGTGCCCAACAGGAGAGAAAGAATAAATTCAAGGATGGCAGGCTGGCTTGGACAATGTGGGGCACGTGCTGACCTTGGCAAGTACAGTTTCAGTGAAGGGAATGGCTGGTGAAAAGGGAAGTGAGACAACTGTTGGCTGAAGTGATGAATGAACAGACAGTAAAAAAGTTAAACCTAGCCAGCTGTCGATTACTGACAGCTCAGCCGACCACATCCCCCTAAAAAAGGATACAGAATGATCTTTTTTTTTTTTTTTCAACGTTTATTTATTTTTGGGACAGAGAGAGACAGAGCATGAACGGGGGAGGGGCAGAGAGAGAGGGAGACACAGAATCGGAAACAGGCTCCAGGCTCTGAGCCATCAGCCCAGAGCCCGACGCGGGGCTCGAACTCCCGGACCGCGAGATCATGACCTGGCTGAAGTCGGACGCTCAACCGACTGCGCCACCCAGGCGCCCCCAGAATGATCTTTTAATACTAACAGTTGACAATTAGAAGTGGTTCAATGATGTAACAATCACACTGCTTCAACTTTTTCTTTGTTGTAGTTTTCAAATTGTCAATTTTTAGCTATTTAACAGATTTTAAAAGCAAAATAATCATGCTGTATCTAGTCTCAGAGTTCAAGTCTAAATGTTTATGTGAAAAATTATTGCAGCAAACTTTCAACATGGCAAAGCAACTTTAAACTCTAATTTAGCCAAATGAAATATAATCTGAAATTATATTACAACATTTCCCTTGTCTTTAAACAGAATATTGATTTAGTGGATTTCACCACTTAATACACATTCTCCTCCTTTTCTTCCCCCAGTAATATTATTGACCAAAAATGTGCATTTCTGGGGCACCTGGGTGGCTCAGTCGGTTAAGCATCGGACTTCAGCTCAGGTCATGATCTCACAGTTTGTGAGTTTGAGCCCCGTGTCGGGCTCTGTGCTGACAGCTCAGAGCCTGGAGCCTGCTTCAGATTCTGCCACACCAAGGCTTTTCAAATCCTCTATTAAAATAAACCCCATGGGGTATGTCAGAGAATGCATGAGGGCCCTGTGAAAACTGAAAAACAAACTATATTCTCAAGTACTAAGGGCTCAATAGTAAAGATATAATTTTCATCATGCTGTATGTCAATTCGTACTACCAGAATGAAAGAAACTTACCACACTACTGAAAAGCAACTTACCTCAGGCTCTAGTTTGAAATTGAGCCACTCATCAAGTTTCAAAGCTGCCAAATTAGCAGTGGTTCTGTCCTCCATTTCACTATCACTACTGTCATTAGGAACACCATCCGCTGTTCAAACACATATTGAAAGGAAAAAATTTCACTCTTACCACCATATAGCAAAAGAAGTAAGTAAACACAGACACTGTGTATTTACACAAATGCTCCATACTAAGAGTTTGGGTGTGGAGCTCTTCAAAGCCAGCAGTTCACAAATTAAGTCTCAATACT